CGAGTAATACCACATGGATGTGACGAATAAAAAGTTACCGAACCGAGCTATTTTACCTACCAAAGCATGAAACAAGAAATAGAAGTAGGTACTTACAGTTAGACGCCAAAAACTGCATAACGTATCCAGAACTATATTTGGAATGTGTTTGATTTCGTTAAAAGTTACTTGCGGATACACTAAATAACGACGAAGCACAAGCCGCCGACAATTTTATGCACTCAGCTTGCATACCCTAAGGACACAAAGAGGTCATTTACATAATTCCGCGTGGCAAAATTGAAAAAAAAGTATTATTATAGGTGACGGGGTTAAGACAACTGCTAAGCCAAAAATGACCATTCCAGTCCCCTTCGTCTTTGCTGGTAATACTATCTGCCTCTATATATAAATATTATATAAGTATGGTGAATTATAAACAACAAGATGTGTAACTACTGTATGCCCGTCGGCAGTATGGGTATATTACGCGGTTATCCCACAGGGGCTGATGTAGTTCCGCCTAAATATATACATCAATTTTCGGTCTACGCCTTCAGACCTTAAATATACTGATCTATAGTGAGAACAGCAATTAACTTCTAGGGAAATTGAAAGGCTGGATTTTACAAAAATGGCTTATCAACCAGAAAGCAACCAAGGAAAGCTGGGGGACCCACTGGTTAGCCGTACCCCTCACAGCTTTGTCCAGCAGCGGCAGAACACCGGCGAAACACGTGTCTGGGCTTTTAAGCTAGCAGTTGGGCTGTTTCTATGATGAATTATAACATAAATAAATATAAAGGCAGAACGAGTGAATCCTGCAACCGATCAGTGCAAAACTATCTGCCACTGTATAGATGCATATGTGTGTTGAAATGCTGAAATCCCCAGATAATAAAGGGAGAAAAGAAGAAAATATTTGGGAAAATGGAACCTTTGGTTTTCGAGGTTTGCCTTCAGGCTATGGGATTTGAGCGAAAAAAATTAACTAAATTAACCGTGTTAAAAAGTATTCTATGATTAGGCAATGTTTGCGTCAATATCTGTTATGTGCATTTTTTCATCCGGTTGTACTTGGGTGTGCAGGTTTCAGTTTCAAGGAAAGGCCTCCTTTGGGAAAATTTGGAAATTTTTTTCCGTAAATTTTGGACAATGGATCCGTAGGTCGTTGTCAGACTTGAAAAAAATGCAAATGCATATTATGTACATGTATATACGTATATGTATGTATGTATGTATATATGTAAGTGTATGTATAT